CATCCACGCATCCATGTATCCAGCCACCCAGCCACCTATACACCCATCCATCCATGTGTCTACCCACTTTAGTCTCCATCAGTCCATTTTTCCATCTTCCATATTTTCTTCCATCTGTATGTCCATATTTTCATCTCTGTTCATCCGTTGTCCATTCATTTGTCTGTTTATTCATCTGTCTCCTCTGTTGATACTTAAGTGCCCTGCACCATGCCGAGTGCCTCACATTCATTCCCTCCTGGCGACTCTGCCGTTGATTTCTGTGGTCTCTGTGTTCAGTTGTGTGGACCACTGTCCTATATTCCAGTGTGTGATTCCTTTGTGGAACTTTTCTCCTGCTCCTTGTTTCCTTGCTGGGGCTGTCAACCACAGTACCTTTATCACGGAGCCCCATTTCCCTGCCACCGCGATGGGCTGAAGGACTGGGTATGTGTCTCAAGTCCAAGCTTTTCACGAGCTCTGTTGTTTAGATGCTCAGGGAGAGAGGGGTGCGGTTTTAGATCACCAACTGTGAAGACGGAGACCTGAGACTGCCAGTGACCATGTTTCATGCTACGAGAGCACTCATCTGTGGCAGGAGAGAATGAGACTCCCCCACAAAAAGAACGAGCGAGAGAAGGGATCAGGAGGTGGAGTGAGCATGATTCGAGCCCTTGTACCAGACGCGCCTCAAGCAAACTGCATCAATGGGTCTAACGATGCCACGTGACAAGTTTGACTTTTTGCTTCAACTATTCAAGTTGGGTTTTTGTCATCTGCAACTGAAAGAGCCTAATACTGTGTTGTTATCCCTACTTTAGAGATGAAGAAACTGAGACCCAGAAAGTTTAATCTGCCCAAGGTTGACAAGTGACGACACTAGGGTTTGAAGCAGAGCTCTGCTGTACCGCCCACACATGTCTGCCCTGTCCGTCCCTCATCAGTCTGTCCACCTGGCTATCCCTCCATGCTAAGACTCAGAAGGTAATGACTTTTTTTGTTTAATTTGGCATCCAGTTCTGAGGCTTGGCCCGGGGACGGCAGACGTCTGCTGTAAAGGTTCAGAGTAAACCTTTACGGTTGGGGGGCCCCGCCGCTCAGTAGTGACTACTCAGCTTAGCCGTTGTGACGGCATCCGTGGGCAGTGTGTAAGCCATCAGGCCTGGCTCTGATGCTGTAAATTGTTTTTCACAAAAACAGGTGGCAGGCTTAGGTCAGTGCAGAAGACACATTCTGGTGCTGGGAACGTGGACAAGGAGTGGGAGCGTGTGTGCTGTTGTTTGCCACTGACAACGTAGCAAAAACAATAGGAATTTTACATTACATATTAAAACCCTTGTTTTTGAATCTAGCTCTGTGACCTTGGAGAGGCGAGGAAGCAGGTATGAAACGGGCCGTAGTCCGTGTGCCTGAAGGTGAGTTCACTCTGAGGGTGAGCTCCGTCCCCCTTTCTCATTCTTGGCCACCACGTGTCACCAGTGCAGCGAGGCCTGCCCGTGCCTTTAGGGTGCCTGGGGCTGCCCTGAGGCTGGTCCGCCCTCCAGCTTCTCAGAGCAGCTTCCTCATGAGGGATATAGGTGAAGCTCTCAGAAGCTCCAGGTTTCTCTTCTTAATAATCATATTCCAGTCTTAGTTCACGGTTCCAAATGTGAGCCCCTTCTGTCGCTGTACCTGGGAGCAGCCATGCTGATTCTGACTCATGGTGGCCTCTTGTTACGGAGTAGGACTGCCCCGTAGGGCTTTCTAGGCTGTCGTCTTTCACGATGGACACAGTGGCCGCAACAGCGGGCTCAGCCGTGGCGTGGTTGTGAGGCCAGTTCACGCCCGGGCAGGGCTGCCTTCTGTGTGCAGTCACTGAGCTGGAAGTGACCTGACAGTGGCCGCAGCAGGAATCTTTACGGGAGCAGGTGGCCAGGTCTTTCTCCCGCAGGGCGTGAACCACCAACTTTTGGCTGGTAGCAGAGCTTAAGCACTGTGCCACCAGCCTAGAACAAAGGGCTCTTCAGTCTACAGGCCCCGTTAAAGCCAGAGGCAATTTGATCCAGTTCACAAAAAAGTGCCAGTTACACGCTGGACGTGGTCCTGCAAATCTGATGCTACAAACATTAGCGTGTTTCTAAGGAACGTTAAAAGTCACGCGTTGCTTTATGTATGTATTTTTAGGTGAAAGGATTAAGACCTTAATTTATCTATTCTGTAAATGCTAATTTTTCACACACTGGACTTGAACGCGTGACTGGCTTTGTAGCTGGGTAACACCGGGTGAGTTAGTCACAGTCTCTTTCCCTCTTACGTCTAGGAAATGGCAAATAATAAAAATAGTTTTTAAAAAGCAGTTTGGCTTCCGCCCTTTGTGCAGCCCACCAAGGGGATCACTCTTCCCCACGCAGCTCGTCCTCCTGCTGCCCCGGGCAGATGCTCGGCTCTGGGGGATGAAGGTGTGCTCCTGTCTGTCCGAGTGTCTGTGGCCTGCAGCTGTGCCCGGGATCGTGTCTGGGTGTGCCCATGTCTGCATTGCGTTACCTGCTTAGCATCTGTGGCTGCTCCTGCATGGATCTGTTAGTCACTATGTGATTGATGGGGTGTGATTGACGTGTGGGTGTGTGTGGGTGTGTGGGTGTGGGTGTGGCTGGGTCCTCGGGCTGGATGCTCCATCCATCCCCTTGTGTGTCTCCATCTCACTAGGCCAGCAGGGGCGTTTGGTGTGGAGGGAAGGGGGCTGTGGGGCTCCGAGCTTGGGGAGGGGGCCCTGCCCTGAACTGTCTGGGTCCAGAAGGAAGTTGAAAAGGACAGAGAAACTGGATGACTTGGCTCTGCCCCCTGGCAGTCCCTGATCCTGGGAAGGTGTCTTGGTCACTCCTCACTCTTCTCCAGACCCTTTGTTGGCATCCAGAGAATTGTGGCCCAGCCCAAGGGGCAGCGCCCGGCTTGGCCCTGCAGTCCAGAGTGTACGTGGAGGCCTGCACAGACCCAGAGGGCAGCAGCGGGAAGCATGAGCCATAGTCCACGCCGCTGTCCCTGCGGCCCCCTGCCTGTGGACCTTGATATGACTGCAGCCTCAGACAGATGTAGCCTGGGTCTCTCAAACACCCCTCCAATCCCCAGCCTGTCGGGCCACTCCAAGCTCCCGGGGCTTGCGCTGAGCTGGACTGGGGACCCTTCAGCACAAGGTGGAAGGTGACCCACGTGGGTGGGGATGGAGACCCCAGAGGAGTGAAAGGGCGGTGGGAGATGCTGCACGGTTTGCTGGAGTTGGTGTAACATGGGTCACTGCATGGGAGAGCCCCCCCCCCAGGGTGCCCCTGAAGGACGGTGGGGAGGACCCTTGCCGGTGAGCAGAACGTCTTACTGCCCTTTTGTCCTGGAAGGAGGGCTTGAGAGTGCCGCCAGGCTCGGGTTCCTCATGCTACAGGGGGAGCAGGAAGTAGCTGCGCGGGGAAGCTGTTCGATCCCGACTGCTGACGGGAGACGAGGCTCAGTGCTTGTGGGTCCGACTCACAGTGACCCTGTTTACGACAGAACGAAGGGCTGCCTGGTCCCGCGCCGGCCGCAGTCCCTGCGTGCTTCTTCTTGTCACTGCAGCCACTGTGCCAGTCCACCTCGTTGAGCGCCTTCCCCTGTTTCGCTGACCCGAAACTCTACCAGACATGATGTCCTCCTGCAGAGAGTGGTCGCTTCTGAGCACACGACCAAAGGAGGTGAGACCAAGTCTGGGCACTCGTGCTTCCAAGGAGCATTCCGGTGCACTTCCTCCAGGACAGATTGGTCCGTTCTGGCGGCCCATGGCACTGTCAGCGTTCTTCCCCAGCACCACGACTCAAAGGCATCAACTCTTCTTCGGT